ATGTATTAGTCAAATGAGGAAAACTCTAAGAGTAATACAGCACATACATCATTTTCATACAACATTTCTCATACAACATTATGTGTAAAATATGATTGGCCAATTTAAAGTTAAAATTAAAGTTTCATCCAATCATATCTTGTCACATAATATTGTATGAGAAATGTTATATATGAATGATGTATTTGTAGTATTATTCAAACTCTAATGTAAGAGTGATTATAAGGAGTAAAGTAGTAAACTGTTATTTCAGGCATTTGTTATTTTAAGATCTATCAGAGGGAAAATTGTAATAAACTCTTTATTTTTATTACGGATGGGTTTCATTTTAATATAATTCATCAATCTTCGTTGGGACATTGTCACATTGACCATTGTACCAATTTGTTTGTTTTTTCATTTTTATAAAAAGAAAACACCAGGACAACTGGGTTAGGGGAATAAAAACAAAATTAACATATTAATTATTGGGTCAATTATTATTTATATTCCTAATTAATAGATTAAATCAACTGAATGTGTAGACGTGTTATAATTGTTGCCTACTTATTTCAGAAATCTCTAGTGACATTTTAAATTATTAAAGTCAAATTATATGTTTTACCTGTGTTCTACACTTCAACTAAATTGTATACATTAACCAATATAATAATTAATAAATCATCTATTTTATTTTTAAAATAAAATTAAAAGAAATTTGAAGATCATAGAATAAATTATTAATTTTGTTATATTTATAAATTGAAACACATTTTATTTTGCTTTTCACAAAAATTTCACCCGGGCTACAGCCTAATATTGATAGGCAGCTCAAATGAGAAATTAATTTGGAGTCTCAATTATTTCATTTGGTTGGTAAAGCAGATGTCACATGTATTTTGTCGAGGATACTGGGAAAATTTAAAATAGAAAAACAGTTTCGGTGTTTTTAAGATTTGGAAATGTGTCGAAAACAATATTTTACAAAATAAAAGATTTAAAGATTCGTTTCTGCAAAAACATCAAAACATGTTTCTGGAAGAGTTATTTTAGTTGTATTCAAAACGAAAAAAAATGAAATGCCACCAAAGGAAGGATTATTTATTCAGAAATGGGTTTTATGGTAAATGGTTTCGTTTTTCCTTCCCATGAGAGCACAATGAAATTAATTCGGAGGAAAACATTATACTTTTAATAAAATAAATTATAACATAAAACATGAAATTGATAGTATAAAATATGCAACTTATTAACCACTTGGCTTATGCCCATATGTATACCTTAGATTACCCAAATGTCTTGTATTCGAGTCTTATCAAGTGACCACTTGTCTTATTGAATTAGTAAGGTTGTTCAATAGACCATTGTAGAGTATTCAATAGATCTTATAAATTAATTGGTTGTAATTATAACTGTTTACTTATTTCAGAAATCTCTAGTGACATTTTAAAATATTAAAGTCAAATTATATGTGCTACTAGTGTTCTACACACTATTACATGTATAGCGGCGGAATTAGAAATTAATTTTTGGGAGGTTTTATCCCACGCATAAGAAAAATAAAATACCCATATAATGAAATAAATTTATTATAATCTTGTTAAGAATATAAATAAAATTATTTTTAATTCAAGAATTTAGAAAATATAAAACACAATTATAAAAACAAGAGGAAAAAAAAGGGTATAAAATTTGTTATTAAATCACCATAAAATCAAAAAGGTGTTTTGTGTTTGTTAAGGGTATAATTGGTTTGTTATGTGTTTTGCACTATATAAGTTCGTACAACAGAATTGCTAATGCATTTATATGGTACGAAGACTCCTGTATAAACTCGCACACATAATCCAGTGTGTTTTAATGTGATTGGATAAATTTAAATTAGAGATAATTTAAAAAAAAAAAATCATAGTAGATGATATGTCAAATATGCAAGGTTGCCATACAATTTGTAGGAATTAGTTTGCACGTATAGTTTGAAGTTGTTTTTTCAAAACAAAACGTTTTTTACTTCTAATACCATTTTTCAAATCCCACAACACATCTACTCTATTTGGTTGCCAAGAAAATGTAGGAAAGAAAAAGAAAGACAGTTGTTAGGTTCTAATTCAACATACTGTCATGATTTGACTCTTACTGTATATATTATCTAATACCAAGGGTGAGTTATAAAGTGCATTATTCATTTTTATTTACTCTTATAATCTTGATTAAATAATTACTTTGGATTTTTGGTTTAATTAGATAATTTACTGTTTTCAAATGATAATAATCAATTTTTTTTTTTTAAAAAAAGTGTTGGACTGGTTCACCAACAATCCACCTTTGAGATCATTTAATACACCAACAATCATTGTTTTAAATCCCAGACCGGAAGGCAACCCGTTTAGACGTTAGCGGCAATTTTATTTTTAAAAAATTACATATTAATCCTTTCAATTTTAATGTATTACAAAACTCCCTTAAAAAGTTAAATTAGTCCCTAAAATTTATATTTATTTCAAAAATTCCCCCCAAAATTGCTAATTAATCTCTAAACTTTTGACATATCTCCCAAACACCCTTATAAAATTACAATTAACCCTTATAATTTTGAAATATTACAAAAACCTCCTAAGACCTGAACCGGACTGGAGAAGCTGTCGGGTCTTGGTTCGACCAGCCGGTCCGATTTTTAAAACAGACCAACAATACCAATGAGAACAGAACACAATTCTAAACATATATATATATATTTTTTTTTTTTTTTGGAAAATATATTTTCATATGATATAACAATTATCTAGTCAAAGATTTGGAAAAACAATCAGTAAATTTTTGGATTTGTTTTTGTTTTTGTTTTTTTTTTTTTTGGGGAAAAAAGAATGGTTTTTTCAATTTTCTTAACAAGTAAGTTTATTTTTAATTAATTAATTAGGTCATTAATTATTTGATATATATTCCTAATCAGTTAAAAAAAAAACCCGACATTAATACAATGCATTGACTCGTGTAAGAATTTTTATTAAATTAAAGGTATATATCACTAGAAGTGGACCAAAAACCAACTCAACTACTAATTATTTAAAACTTTATTCCTAATCAATAGATTAAATTACATGATTAACACACATGTTACAATTGTTATCTACTTAATTCTTCCATAAATATTTGGTGGCATATATTATACCAAGACAAATTGAATTGTGCCTCTCAACACGTCCAGAATTTTCGTGCAATATTTAATTCATTTTTATAAAATTACAAATATACCTGTTTAATGTTATCCCACTTAAAGATAGTTAAGCCTAAGACGTTCTACGAGTTATGGTAATTACAAATACAATTTTATTTGGGATTTTTTTTTTCTTCTAAATAAGTTTAATATTTAGTGTAATGCTAATCTTAAACATAGAGTTTAAGATAAAATAGAACTTTTGATAGACAAGATTACTCATATTGTTTGATGAGTTCAAAACATGATAAAATTTTGAGTATTGACTAATCTAAGAGTAAGTGCATATCCATTTTACTCTTATGCTATGATGCAATATGCAATATATTTCAAAATTTCTCTTTTATAGTATGATAGCAATTCAAAATTTATTTATGTTTTTATGTATAATTATTGGAGTCTCATACCTACTAAACACGCTCAAGCCTCCATCAACATACATGACCCAATATATGCGTTTGATCGAGAGGGGTAATACTGCCTTCAACAAGACCTTATTGGGTGAAGAGTGAAGCTCACCTCATATTCTATAATAGTATCGGAGTTAGACTCAATTGAACTGAGTGTTTAATCAGCGGGTGAGGAGTTATAACTAACAACTACCTCCATCAACAGACATGACTCAACATATGAGCTTTCACTGTGAGGAAGAGTGTTGGAGTCTTACACTGACTAGGCACACTCAAGTCTCTATCAACAGGTCTGATCCAACATATGAGCTTGACCAAGAGGGGATAATCTTCGATTCAACAAGGTTCAACAAAGCCTTATTTGATGAGGAGTCCGACTCACCTCAAATTCTATTAACAATAATAATAAGTAGATAACATGTTTACTCAATTATAATTGAACAAATTGCCGATTATGAGATTCCAAAAACCAAATGTGAAGGTTGTGTGTCAATATCAAATGTGTTTTGGTAGATAACACATAGTTTGTTTAGTGTGAGAACTTAATGGAATTATTTGGGGGAGGTTATATATATATATATAAAATTTACATAATGATGGTCCACAAACAATGTTATTTTAATTTAATTCTAATTACACAATTATAAGGAAAGTGATACCTAAATAACCCTCATAAAGTAAAAAAAAAAAAAATCAAAAAACAAAATAGCCCCGTTGAATGTCTTCTCAACCCCCATTTATTAAGTTTTCACGTAATCCGAAAATAAGACGAACCCCCCGAAGGAGTTCATATTATAAATAATTTTTTCTTTCTTGTTTCAAGTCGGTGATTTTTTCGGCCTAAAAAGGAGTCAAACCACAGACCCACACCCACTTCAGTATTTCTTCCAACACTTTTTAAATGGGTAAAGTATTAAGAGCTTTATTATTATTACAAAATTAAATAATATTCATCAAAATCATTTATTTTTTATTTTTTTCTTAAAACAAAAGCTTTAATCCTATTATACACCGTATATGATTCAAAATTTATAAGAATTTGTTATCCTATGAATTGTATGTTCATGAAATAGGGTATCTTTTTACAATGGCATCAATTAATTTTGACATCTTGTACAAATGAATTAAAAATGATTTCATAAAAGAAAGTTCATAATTAAGGATAATTTTAGAATTATATATAGATTCATTTTAAACGGGGCTTATTAGAAAATTAGTGCAGTTCATATAGTAGTATCACTCTAAGAAAAACAAAAATACTAAATAATAAATAAATTTTAATTTTAATATAATAAATAAATATTCAAGTATACAGAGATAAAGGTGTGCAGAAACGGTGGGGACAGCTGTCCAAGAAAAGCCTTTTATAAAATCTTTAACAAAATTCAAATTCTATCCGTGTTAAGTGCAATTATAAATGCTGGCCATGGCCACCCAAACTTAACGTCCAAACTCAACAAAGCGTCCTGAAACTAAGGAGTTTTTGAAGACGCCACCAACACGCCACGTTTCATTTCTGTAAGCGGAAGCTCGTCAATCAAATTCTTCACTTTCTTCTTTAAACCTCTCTTTTACTCCACACTATGCACCTACAAAACTAGCTGTATTTCTCAGCTGTTTCACTCCAAAGTTTAACCGGACGGCTGTTTCTCTCCGGTTAGTTTTTCTTTTCTTTCTTTTTTTATTTATGTAGTGTTTTACTTTCATTTGCGTGTTCTAGCGACTAAGATTTTTATGCTGTTAATGGAATTGGTTTGTTTTTAAAGTTGTGGTTTGTGTTGAAGCTTCTGTTTGATTGTTGAGAAAATATGTGGGAGGAAGTAGAAGGTTTTAGATCTCAATATTTTGTGACATGTAAATGTGGTTGACCAAAATGAATGAAGAGGTTTTTTGGTTTTCTTTGGTCAAATCATGACAGTCTGTTGAATTAGAACCTAAAAACTGTCTTTCTTTTTCTTCAGTACATTTTCTTGGCAACCAAACAGAGTAGATGCGTTCTGGGGTTTGAAAAATAGTATTAGAAGTCTGAAACGTTTTGTTTTGAAAAAAACATCTTCCGGCAAACGTGTTTCTTGATCCTTGTGAAGCATTTATAAAATTATAATGATAACATAAACTATTACATGTACATATTATGTTATGTTTGGTTGCTGGGAAAATCATGGAAAAGCAAAAGAAAACAAAATAAACTTTGGTTCCCTAAATAAAAGATTGTATTATTTTGACTGGGCATTTAGCTTGCGTTAGGTCTGTGGCCCAAAAATTGGAAGAAAAAAAATATATAAAAATTTTCTGCTGAAAGAAAAATTAATAATTTTGAAGACACATCTCAGTTTCTTCAATGGGACATTCCTGACTTTTGGATTAATAGCTTTTTGCTCTTTCCGTTTTTTCTTTTTTATTTATTCAATAACTAAGAGCTTAAAATCTGATAAACTATAATTAGTTTCCAAGATGAACTCAATTTTGGTCTCTTTTAAAATTAATTTCTTTATTAGAATAAAAAAATTTGGAGATTTTTTTTTTTTTAATTTAATATGTATTTTTTTGTTCATAAGCGCTTGACTGGCATCTGCAAAACTCCCATCATCTCATAGTTTTTGGAGTTTATGAGCGAGGTCAAATCTGCTTGCATCAGCTTTGTTGGCATTAGGGGTTCAATTGTTATTAAATTATTAGGGATGATTTAAATATCCTAAAAATCTTCAAGTCGGTGATTAGCTTGTTGGTTGCTTGATCCTATTGGAGATTAAATTGTATGGTATTAGTTGAAAAGGGTTTTCTCAAAAATATTCTACTTTTTTGCTTTGTGTGATGTCTTTTCTTTCTTGAAAGAACTCATCTAGTAATGTCTTCTGATTAATGGTTTTTCGATTTTCTTTGTTTTTATTGATGAATTCAGGGGAACAAATCAAATCTACTTTTTAGATTTTTGGACCCAAATAATTACTAAAGTTAAACTAAATATTTCAATCAGGTCATTTCAGAAGGGTAACTAGCATTGATCTATAGAGAATCAAAGGTGTAGAGTTCTTTCTCCCCCTCCTTTTGCTTCCTTTCTCCCAAAGGAATACCATTATACCCTTATGAATTTAACAGTGGTGGGACATAGTTAGGATTTTAGGGGGTAATTGATTAGTTTCTAAAACATCTGGGGTAAGGTGATTAAAAAGGCCATAGTTGCCCAAAAAGTTAGACTTTTGGAAATGTAGGGGGCAAACTGATTTTTACTCCATTCTGGGGAGAAGCCTTTGTTTTTCTTTATTGAAGCTCTAGTTCCTGGTAGTTTTGTCCAAAAGAAAAGTTGGTTCTACCTGTTCACATGTATAAGTAGCTTTATGCCATTTAATTCTATAAATTTCAAGAAATCTTGTATTGCAGACAGTTCAATTGAAACATTATAAGCAGTAGGATTTGCTTTTATCATTTTATTATATAAATTAATCATTCTGTTGAACTGCTTTTTTCGTCATCGTCAGCATGCATAATGACTTAAGTGACTAAATCAGTTAAGCATCTTATATCTCTATGTGTGTTTGCATGTATAATGTTACTGTAAGTGTGCAGCATTATTGCTGACAGATATAAATTTCTTGGATATTGGCAGGTGGTGAACTTATGAGTAGTATTAATTGTCAAATGTTTTGTGGATAAATTGTGCTAGCTCTTCTCATGGGTTGTGTCTTGACGAAAAAAAGTAGACGAACGCCTGGTTATGAGGAGCCTACTGTTCTTGCTGCTGAAACACTTTGTCAGTCCTTGTCCCTCGCCTGTACAATTCTTGCTACTTTTCCAACTTATTTTGCCTGTGCTTAATTAAATCTGTTTGCTTATACCTTGCATTATGTCTCTCAGTATCATTCTCTAGGTGTTATTAAAGTGATAACAAAGCATATATTCTCCTTAAAGTTAGAACGGTACATAATTCATGACACCTGCACCTTGAAATTGATTTCTTTAAACTAAAATAGTGAATTAGTTTACTTGGTTCTTGGAATATGTTCACTTTTTGGCATTCGAGTGGGAAGGAAAAATCTCAGAGTAAAACTTGACTTGAATAAAGTGATGCTACTGTCCGATAGTAGTGAGCCTAGTCTGTTGCATCTTTTGGAATATCTTAATTGGGTTGGTTAAATTATTAAATCAGATTAGATATTATTAGAAACAAACATGAGTTCACTGGCATTGAAATATAGAAAGATGGCATTCACATCATATGTGGCATATTAAGACATGAAAAAAAAAATGGAGAACCTGGCTTAATTATATGGAAGTTACAGATCTTGTGATACAATTTTAACTAGTTAATTTGTCCAGTTGCAGCCTCGAGTTTGCTGCTCAATATGATTATCCTGCTTTCTTTCTGTTTGGAATCACCTAACAATTTTCCTTGAGACTGATTTTGAAAATACAATGTGTTTCCTCTTCTTTGCAGTCACTGTTAGTGAAGTAGAGGCCTTGTATGAGCTGTTTAAGAAATTAAGCAGTTCAATAATTGATGATGGGCTAATTCACAAGGTATGTTTCTTAGTACTAATTTTAAGTTGAAAGGTTTTAAGGTGGACTTCATTCTAAAGAAAGGTAATTGTAATTGGTTCTTATGAGCAGGAAGAGTTTCAGCTTGCACTCTTCAGGAACAGAAATAGGAGGAATCTTTTCGCTGACAGGGTGCGTATAGCTGGCTCCTAGTCATGGATATTGATCTATACTTGTATATCAGTAACTATTTTAACAGCAAAAACAGCTGTCATATTCTGCACTGATGTGAATTCTGTTTTACATTAGTTTTTGTGTATTTTTCTTTTGTAGATCTTTGATCTGTTTGATGTCAAGCGCAATGGGGTCATCGAGTTTGGGGAATTTGTTCGATCGTTGGGTGTCTTTCATCCAAACGCACCTGTGGAGGACAAAATTGCATGTAAGATCATTTCTCTATCATAGAATTCTTACAAGTGTTCCTGTGTTGGAAATGTATCATCTCCTATGCATTCTACTAACCTCTCTTCTTTCGTACGAATATTTCTTGAGGTTAAACTGAAAAATCTCATAAACACAAGATGATTTCTGTGCTTCTTAAATAACTACTAAATTTGCAAAAATGCTTTTGCAGTTGCTTTCAGATTGTATGATCTAAGGCAGACTGGTTTCATTGAGTGGGAGGAGGTAAATATATCAACCACTTACCATTATAGTTTCTTTTATATATGTGGCCCTTGTAATACGGTAAAGGCTTCTAGAATGTGCTTCCAAAATTTGCATTCAGCAACTTAAGCTTATAATTCGATATCACTTGACAGTTGAAGGAGATGGTTTTGGCGCTACTGCATGAATCAGATCTCGTACTTTCAGATGATTTCATTGAAACTATTGTGAATAAGGTTCAGATAACTCAACCCTTTCAACTACACTATCTCATGCTTATTTGGTCCTCCTCCAGTCCTGAACTTTGTCTTTTTTCGCAGACCTTTAGTGATGCTGATACAAAAGGTGATGGAAAAATTGACCTAGAAGAATGGAAAGAATTTGTGTCTAAGAACCCCTCTCTGATAAAGAACATGACTCTTCCACATTTGAAGTAAGTCTTAACTTGTTTGTACTTTTTTAAAACTGATTAAAAATTAAGCAATGAACTGCGTATATCACCAAGTAGGCATGAAATCTTAGAATTAAGTTTACGACGTCCATTTTCCTTGAAAAAAGTTCATTTTTAGAACAGTAACATGCCATTTTCTTGTTCTCCAGGGACATAACCTTGGCCTTTCCCAGCTTTATGATAAGTACTGAAGTTGAAGATTCAGAAGTCTAGGTTCATATCATATCTAAAATGCATCGATATTGTTGCTTTTTGAGATGAACATAATCTACAAGCGAACTTAGATTCCACATGTTTTCATATCTATGCTCCACCGGAAAAACTAGAAGCAAGCTTAGAGGAAATCGTAAGTCTCCTAAAGCAGAGCCAAGCTACAACACCTATCCATGACTGCTTTTTTTTGCGATGTTAGCAGGTGCTTGTACTGTTTTGCTGGTAGAAACTAACTGTATATAGTTGATGTTTATTTGCATCTGGTTTCATATTATGATGCTGTGTGCCTTTGAAGAGGTAAATTTTCAATCCCACTCTTGTTCTTCATATGTAATAAAGGGGTTGTTTTATTATTCTAAAGTGATTCCTCCCAGAGTTGCAGAATCTGTTTGATTTATCTTAACGTAAAATCAAAGGACAATTTTGATGCTTCTAGACTTGCAATATATTTTGGTAGACAACATAAATTTGACTTGGGAATGACTTGACAGTTGTGTTATTAGTTGATGCCGTATATAACAAGTGTGATGTTTTATGCTCCCCAACCCGTTTCATTATCAGTATTGGGATGTAGTATCTCCTTCATGTAGAAGACAGGAGCTGATTTAAAAAGTCTATTAGATTTGAATAAAAATTTTGTTCTTTAATTAATAAACAACAAGTTTCTATATATTTTATTTATTAATTCTCTTTCCTATTAAGTTTTGTTCTTGAAAAATAAATAACATCTTTTTAAATTTAAAGAGTCTATTGGATTTGAATAAAAATTTTGTTCTTTATGTTTATAAATTAATGAACCTGTTCTTTATTTGTATGAAATATGTTCTTTAAAATAAAAAACATCATTGGAGATGCTCAAAGTCAAGAAATTTGCTACATTTTCACTCTTATGTTAAACCAAATAAATAGAGCTTCACAATTTAATTCGTGAGTTTTTTAATTTTAACAAGTGATGGTTAAAATACAAACAAACCTGTGAAAATTTTGGATACTTCAGAAGATGAAATTGTGGAAATTTCAATTACTTCCGAATATGAAGATGAAGAGGAGGATGTTGAATTGATTCCCTCAAGCTAGTCATGGCTATTGTTTGAATTCCATGATCAACTTCAGTAGAATCTACCAGAAGTCTAAAGGTGGGCAGGGACTCGACCCAACCAGGCCCAAGTTTTACCTGATTGGGACTAGTTCCATTTGGGACCAATCTTTCATGTCCTAGGCCCATGAAAAATATTAGGGATAAGTCCTAGGCCTATAGGACCGGTTCCATAGACCTAAATAATTTCATTTACCCTATATATTTTTTTATCTCTTTGGGGACTTAATTAAAATTATATAGAGGGTTTAATGTAATTTTTAGGGGTAATTTCAAAATTTTTTAATTGGTTATAGATTTAGGTTGTTCTTAATTTAAATTGTAAGAAGATAATAATAATTTAATTTTAAGTTTTAACATAAATATAATGTTCACACAATTACAATTCACAAATAAACAATTAAATAAATTTGATTTTATTAAATTGTTAATTTTCATCATCAATAATATTTACATCTTCCAAATTCGTGTTTCTGAAGAGGTTAAGTTATTCAGGATCTTCAGGGTGCTACTAATCTCTTTTGTCCGCATGAGTCCAATCCCGTAAAGATGTTATGACTTCATCCGTCTTATTAGTTAAAAAACATCTTCTCTCTTCAACAATGCGGCCACTAATTGAGAATGCTGACTTTGATGCATTGTCGAAATTGGCACAGATAAAATGTCACGTGCCATTTTGGCTACTATAGGGAATTGACTTGCATTGTGGTTCCACCATTAAAGCACATTCATCTCACGTTTTTCCTTCGTGGTCATGTAGGACATGTCAATTTGTAGGTACCGACGCAGCTCATTTGGTCCAAGTTATTTGTACGAGCTGCTACTTCCACCACCACGCTGTCATGTTCCACAAACCTCCATATGCTCTTCCCTACCATCCTTGGTCTTCATTAGGGTCTTACTACTCTGTTGGTTTTGGACGCTACTCCAATGTGCCTACTCTGATACAAAGATAAAGGCTTTCTAATTTTCTGTTAAATTCTATCAAAAGAAGAACTATGGTCATATTGTAAATTATGGCTTATCTTAGCAACCGTACAATTAAATACGCTTGATTTAAATCTAGGATCTATAATAAGACCTAATCCATATAAGAATAAAATATCTAACCAATATTTCCGGTATTTTTTTTCCATTGCAACAACAATATCGCGCAAATCTTTATTATATCTATATGTAGCAGAAGTTGTAGAAATTCGAAGTAAAGCATCTAACGCTACGTTAGTAGTAAGATATTAAATACCACTTAATAAATTAGTGGAATTGTAAAAAACTTTAAGAAACAAAAAAATAGTTTGCAAACCTTCCAATCGGATTCGTTGACGACTACCTTCGGATAGTTCTTCTGGTTGATAAACTCTGTAATTTGTCTTGCGGTTAGTATAGCATTTTCCAACATTAGGTAAGTGGAGTTTCAACGGACAGGCATGTCCGTACTTAACTTCTTTGGTTGAATCAGTGGATCTTCTTGGCGATAATATTTGCAAAATTCAGTCCATCTTGAATTACTATCAGCGATGAATTCGATAGTCGCACACCCCCTTTCAATCCTTGAATGTATAACTTTTAAATCTGCTTTAACAATCAAATTGATGATGTGACAAGCACATTTCTAGTGAAAAAATTGCCTTCACCATACGGATCCAATCTCTTTTCAAATAAAGAAATTGCCAAGGTGTTAATAGCTGCAGTATTAAGTGTTAGCACCACTACTCTCTCAGATAATAAATATTCTTGCAGAACTTCAATAATTGTAAAATAAACAGTTTCAGAACTATGTTTTTCATATAATGCTTTAAAACCTATCAATTTTTCTAAACAATATATTTGTGACACTCAAAAAACCTGTTTTCATCTAGCAACCCATATATCTGAAATAAGTGCAATAGATATATTCCTAAAATTTTGAAATTCATTTTTTTAAGTTTGATTTTTTATTTTATCATAAAGGTTTTTTATGTCCCTTCTAGTTGTAGCTCTACTAAAAGGGGTAAATGTTGGACAAAAAACAGTTTTAATCATGTAAACAAAATAAAGATTTTCAGATAAAGAAATAAGAGAGTCTGTAGCATATATGAATTTTGCTATTTCCTCTCGTGTTGTGAGTGTATTGTAATTCCATGTTGAGAGAGTTGATGATTGTGGATTAAAATTAAGTTTGAATTTGCTTATCTGGTGCGGTGCTTGAACTTGAACTAGACTGGCGGGACTGCTGCATTTGTACGAGGTGCTTCTTCTCCAAGTGCTGCTGTATCATCGAAGTCCCATTCTCAACATTGATAACGGTTGAACAAAAATTTCATTCCTCTCACATCTCTTCACCAATTAACTTTGGCCGTTTCAATTTGGCGAAGAATTGCCATACCCAAACATGACCCTCTTTGACGGTCAAGCCATGGAGTCGTAGCTTGGACCCAGTCCCAACCGTTTGTGGTAGTGGAATTGGAGTTGCTACCTCTTGAAAGGTTGAAAATAAATTGAACCCTTCTATATCTTCGATGGATGGAACGTAAAACTGATTTGCGGATGATCATCTAAATGCATAATTTTGGGAATCCATTATGAATTTATAAGAAAATAATAAATAATTAAAATGAAGAAATTGAATAATATAATTAGTAATATAAATAAATGTAAATATAAATTGAATTGAAGAGAATTTGAGAATTGGAGTAGAGAGATTGAGAGAAAATAATAGATTGAGAGTTGAGTTGTGAAGAAAAAGTGAAATATAAGGGGTGCTTTTGTGGCTTCAATAGTCAGTTCAATGGTCAGTTGACCGTTGCATTGAGCGGGCAACAGTCAGTTAACCGTTGGCTGCTCAATGCAATATTGCAATATATTTTCTTTTTTGTAAAATATCAATTTAGCCCCTATATTTATTGAAAATTTTTAAAAAATAAGGGGTTTTGGATAATTCACCAGGTAGCATTTAAAAAAAAAGGTTTGGCCCTAGCCTGGCCCTCCTCCACTGTTTGGGTCAGGTTTTGGGACTAGACCTCCTAGGACTAGTCTTTGTGAGACCGGTCCTGGCCCGGGTTTTTGGGTGGGCTTTTTGGGTCTAGTCCTAAATGTCCACCTCTAATTGGAACAAATTATGTATTAAGATGGACTGGACTAAGTCTTTTGAGCATATACTTTCCAATATGGCTGAATTTTTTATTTTTTTTGTTGTTGTATAGATTCTTAAATTCAGTCCCATTCAATGAATAATATAACTCATTGTTTATTCCCTTGTTTCATAGTCCTCTTTTTGTGCTTTTTTTCTTCTATATGTAGCCTAATAAACTATCGGCCGAAGTAGTCATTTTAGTCAATTAAATTAAGTTTGAAATTTAATTGAGTTTAAAATTGGAGAAAAATGATGTTATCATAAACCCTAATTAAGTTTGAAATTGGGGCAAAAGGGGTGCAAATAAAAACTTTATTAAGCCTAATTAACCTTAGTTAAGCATAGAGATGAGCGTTTTATCAGAGCTCCACCTCGAATGGAGTGGCGATAGACCTGGAAAATGGGCGTGTACAGGCCGGGTAGCAATGGGTGATGGGTATAGGTATTTTTTTTTTCATGGGTAGGAAAATGCATGACCCATACCCGCGGGTCACCCACAAAAATTTTTTCATTTATTTTTTTCCCTACTTTTTGTTATTCAAATTTCAAACTTAAAATTTATATTGTATTAATTTGAAAACTTGGTATAAAATTCCTTTATTAGGCTTTCAAAACTTGGTTAATTTGATTAAATTAATGGACAAACACAAAGTTGATTAAATTAAATTTGATTAAATTTCACCAAACATCATTATCAACATTTTATTTCAAAAACATCATTATCAATATTCAACATACATATTAATACATTCAACATTCAACACAATTCCATCATCAATTTCACCAAACATACATAGTAAACAACTTCATAGTAAACATAGTAAACAAAAATAGCGACAGAATTCTTCAATCGAATTGACAAATTTTATTACACAATGAAAGTGTTAGAAGACGCTATTGATTCCCTTATCTCCGCTTGGGTTAATGGCACAAGAAGCTGAGCATCATCAACTTCATCTTCTACAATTAACAAAATTTAAAACATTTAAAATATAAGTTAACTATCTTAGTATATTAACAAACTAAAATATTAAAACATGTGAAATATAAGTTAGCATGTTACCTTTAACTTCAAATCCAGAAATCCATATCCTAGTGCATATCAAAGACTGTGCATTCTCTAGTAAAAGTGAGTTTCGATACTTACTAAGC